AAGCACAAACTGTACTATTTGAGTGAGAAAAATTAAGTCTAACCAAAGGAACCACGATAACAAAGAAAAACAGTTTTGGTTTCAGGAATTGCAAAGACAGACTGGTCATTACGAGAAATTGTACTAATGCTGACACTGCTGAATTGTTTACAGAAACTAGAAAGTTATGGGGTGTTCCTCCCAGTGTCACACGTACTTTCCTGTCCTATATATCAGTTCTACAAATTTTGCTTATACTTGTAAATATCTAAATGTAAATTCAGATTCAAAGCAAAATTCACTAGCAGTGGTTCCTAGCATTTTGTTAGTTTTGCTATATTCCTCCAATTATATCATTTTCCAGCCAACCCGTGACCCCTCATCTCTTTAGTCATTTAAGTTACCAAATTCCCTAACTGTTGGCACATAAGTTTCTCTAAAGACAGAGTATCTCCTTAGTGCAGTGGCAGGCTATACAAACTGTACTGCCAAAGCAAAATATTCTACATATTTAATCTAGTATTAAAAGAAACCACAGTTCTTAGGGCATATTCTCCTCAATGTTCTAGTTTATAATAGCTAGAAAGATACCTTAAACTATACCCAGAACGTGAATCTTAGGTTTTTCTTTTTCTACAGTAAGCTGTTTAGCTTACTCATAGTAGTACTAATGAGAAAAGGAAATGTTTGGGAACTGGGGAAAGAAAACATTCACGTTTGCACCCAAAAGTATTACCAACATGAGTGGCCTGCTAAAAACTTAATCTGTGATGTCAATACCCTACATCCCTTGTCTGAAAGACTGATTAAAGGGCAGTCATTCGCCGTAAGCAAAATGTAAATCAAGAAGGGCCTTAAAAACTGTCAGCATTTATTTCTACATTTCAATTTACATTAATGAATTTAATAATCAATGATTAACTAAAATAACAAGGCTAATTTTAGTTACTTTATCTGTCAACTCCTCTCGTTCCAGTATTTTTCTATCCATGATTCAAGAATATGCATTGTTAGACATAATAAAAAAGAAAAATTATGATTCGATAATACAAGGACTACCCATCTCCTAGAAAATTAACAAACTAGACAGAAATAATTCCTATTTCCCAGAAGGAACTGAATGCAGAATATTCCTTTTTTCTAGGAGAACCTTGTAACTCAGGGGGTCAAGAATTGAGGAGATAAAGTAAGTGCCAGGCCCTATGCTATCAAGAGAGAAAAAAACAAACAAGGCATGCCAAAGCAGCGTCTCATTTAGTGGGAGAGCCAAACGCAAATGTAAATAACTCTAAATCACAGCAGACTATGATGAGAGGTCAAAAGCAAACACACTAAAAAGAGCACAGGGCACAGAGAAACCAAATCACCTAGAGATGTTTGTCAAAAATACAGATCACTGGGCCCCATCCTAGATTCCTGAATCAGATCCTCAGTGATAGTGTCTGGGAATCTGCTTTTTAAATTTTATTTACTTATTTTTAAACATGCATCCCAGGTGAATCTGATGCAAGGGGTTCATGGACCACATTTAGTCACATCAAAATTTGACTACCACTGCTCTAAGTAAGGGTAAGACTTCAACTAACATGTGGTAACGACAAATCCTGGCAGATGGACTACATGAAGAGAGTCGCGGATGCAGAAAATCAGGGTGTGTGGGAATTAAGAGGTTATAGGATGGGCCCAATGGCCTAATGAAATATAATGCTGGAATGGTGCATAGGCTAGCTAGGATCTTGACTCACACAAAGAAGTTGAACTCTCTTCTGGAGGCAACAGAGAATGATCAAAGCTTGCTGAGTAAACACATGCCAAGAGGTACCAAGACAATAATAAAAAGGAGAAAGGGAGGACAGGACTTGGAGACTTGCTGTATGTGGACAAATAGAAGGAACTGAAGATGACTTTGAGAGAAACTGTAATAAGCCAAGTGTCTTCCCAATGCTCAACACTATACTAGGCACCATAGAGCATCCCAAAGTATAAAAGTTACTACTCAACATATTAATTGAGCACCTACTATATGTACCAGGTGCTGTTAATGATGCCGAGGACACACACACACACACACACAGGAAAAAATTCCGTCCTCTAGGAGCTTAAAATCTAGATGTTGCCCTGTTCTTTTTTACTTGTGTCCGTATTTTTTAATGAAGAAAAAATATATTTGGAACCTGTCCTTCCTCAGCCTTGAGGCCTTTTTTTGCTCCTAAAGCATGAGGTGGCTCAAGTCAAGAACCTGCGAGTCATCATCCTGAGTGGTTTTACCTATTTGCTCTTAATGCTTTCTGAATAATGATGACATGACAGTCTTGATATGAGATTGGAAGATGTGAACATCAAAATTCAAGAAATGTCCGTGAAACCCAACTTCAATTAAATGGACTTCACACAAATATGGAACTTTCCCACAGTGAACTTCGCAGTACACAGCTGTTCGTTTGTTCTTTCAATCAATATGTACACTTATTACAGATGGATGCTTCTTCCCTGACCTAGAAGGATGGATAATGGCCTGAAAAAACATACAGTGAAAAGTGTGGTTTCTTGAAAAAATGAACTAAGGAGAAAGAATCAGCAGTGCTTAGAAAACAGGAGGGAGGGTAAAGGAAGATGAGAAGGAGTGTGTGGGGGACTTACGCAAGCAAGACAGCTGAAAAGAAAAGAAAACTGACCAAAGGACAGAAACTAACCAGAAGTCTGCGAATTGCACGGAGCCACTTGTCAAGTTAAATTCTTAACTTACAACATATAATGCTGCCAGCTACTCAATTTTTACAATAATGCGAGAGCCCCTGCCTTTCAGAAATGGAAGGAGCCCTGGTGGCGCAGTAGTTAAAGCATTCAGCTGCTAACTGAAAAGTCGGTGGTGTGAACCCACCAGCTGCTCCTCAGGAGAAAGATGTGGCGGTCTGCTTCTCTAAAGATTACAGCCTTGGCGTCTGGGGTCTTAAAAGCTTGCAAGCAGCCATCTAAGATGCATCAATTGGTCCCAACCACTTGGAGTAAAGGAGAACAAAGAACACCAAAGACACAAGGAAAGTACTGGCCCAAGAGACAGAATGGGCCACATAAACCAGAGACTTCATCAGCCTGAGACCAGAAGATCTAGATGGTGCCCGGCTACC